CTCCCTTCCATCCCGTCTCCTTCACCTCAGGGCTCCCCTCCATCCCGTCTCCTTCACCTCAGGGCAGCCCTCCATCCCATCTCCTTCACCTCAGGGCTCCCCTCCATCCCATCTCCTTCACCTCAGGGCTCCCTTCCATCCCATCTCCTTCACCTCAGGGCTCCCCTCCGTCCCATCTCCTTCACCTCAGGACTCCCCTCTGTCCCATCTCCTTCACCTCAGGTCTCCCCTCCATCCCATCTCCTTTGCTTCACAATTGTCTCTCCAGCCCCCTCACCTCAGCACCCTCTCTATCCTGGCTCCGTCGCCTCAGAGTTTCTCCTCCATCCCATGTCCTTCACCTCAGGGTTTCCCCACCATCTTGGTCCTCGCCTTAGGGCTGCCCCTCCATCCCATCTCCTTTGCCTCACAGCTGTCCCTCCACCTCAGCGCTGTCACCTCACAACTGCCCCTTCCATCTTGGTCCTCGCCTCAAGGTTTCCTCTCCATCCCATCTCCTTCACTTCAGGGCAGCCCCTCCATCCTGGCTGCTTCAGATTGGAGCCACACAGCCCCAGCACCTGCCCTGCACGCGAGCAAATCTCTACTGAAACAACCCCAGCGAGATCCAATTAAAACATGGCCATTAACACCCTCCATAACCACCTAACTCAGCAGCAAGGACCCTCTGCCACAGCCAGGATCAAACAGCAACCTGGAGCAAGCAGCTGCTGAGCAAAGCCAGGGAACAAGGAGTGGGCGAAGCTGCTCCTCGAACCCTGCGTTCCCTTTGGAATCACAGCTCAAAATGGGCTTTAAAAACCCCTTCTTGCTGTCCCCTTCCCCGGCACATCTCAACACATCTGCTCCGTAGTGCTGCCTCCGAGGATTTACTACGGTTTTCCCTCGCTTACTCGCCGTCCAGCCCCCATTTGCTTTTTTGGACCCTGGCAATCTGAGCTTGAGTACTTCAGTTGTCCAGTTGCCAATCAAAATATTTGAAGGAAATGTTTATTTTCTTCTCGAAATCACACCAGCTGCTGCACTAACTGAATAAGCCCATTTAGCTGTAAGAATTTAACCATTGTAAGAGTGAATTGAGTCCCCCAACTACTCCAAAATCTGACCCAATCTATCAGCGGAAATGTCAATGTTTTGGATGGGAGTTTGGGGAAGTGTGGAATGTGTATTAAATAAAAGCCATGTAAAGGTCAAAGCCCTGATTAGTAATGCCACTGTCTCCTCCTTAGGGCTGAGCTGCCTCGGGGACCACGGAGGCCGGGACACACCCCATGATTTAATTGTGCAGCTGCAATTTGCACCTTTT